GTCACTAAATTCTCAGCTTGAGCTGCTTGGCAGCAGTGGGAACAGTGTCACACTGGTGCTGCTGCCCTTCCACTCTCTCCCCTGCAGTGGGCTCTGGCTGTGTCTCTGCAGTGACAAAGGCATTGCTGGCTGTTCCCCACAACTTCAGCCCTGTTTTTCTGTTGCAGAGAACCCCTACCAGCAGCTGCCCTGTGACTGCCATGGCAGCATGCCCGGGAGGACAGCTGTGGTCCTGGGGCCTCTCTGGTGAGTGCAGGTCACACCCTTGGACAGGCAGTTGGGTTGAAGGAGCTCTGAGGGGCAGTTGTCAGTCCTGTCACATTCCCATTCTGTTGGGAATGTTAGCACGACAAAAGGAGCTGCATCAATCAGGAGGAATTCAGGAAATGGATCATGGATTTCAGCGTAGTCAGTTGTTCAGTTCTTGCTTTTGTTCAAACCACTTAATAAATAATAACAAACTTGCTTTAGATTTCACACTCAGTGCACTCATGGAACACGTCCTGCACAGGGGAATCTCCCTCTGTGTTCCTCTAGTGGTCTGATGTTAAGCAACTCCTTTTTACTCTATGCTTGTGGAGAATTCATTTAGTAAATCATTACATGTACTGACCATAGTAAAAAAGACACTGCTTGATAATTAAGACTTGTGAGAAACAAGAGCGAAGCTTTTTAAGTCTTTCGACCATTTCAAAGCAGCATTAAAAACAGCTGACAATTGACAGTACCTTTCTTGTGGGGGTTAAATGACTTTCTCATCATATTAGGGCAGAAATAAAATACCTGTTCTTGAGATCTTGAATATTTTTTTAATAAGACCGATGTTACTTGTCATTGCAAACAAAGCAATTCAGCTTCGATAAGTTAAAAACACTTCCAGCCTGATGCAGCACTTTGGTGGAGCAATTGCTAATCAATTTGGGCAAGAGATTTCTAGAGCAGCTTTTTTGTTTTCATTAAAAGAAGTGTTAACTTTTCATCCCCCTTGCACGTCCCAGGTCAGGGAGCCTCTTTAACACTGGATTCCTCAGGAGAATGCTGTTGGAGGCTGTGCAGTATGGCTTGGATGAAGCCCAGCCACTCCTGAAGACATTAGTTTGTGAAGCAGAGTGCACAACTTTAAAACATTTCTCTACCCATGGTCCTGGTGATGAGAACAAGCAAGGTGAGAAGGGGGGCAGCTCTGTGGTGATTTACAGATGCTGCTCTGTGAATAACTTATTTAACAGCAGCGTGTCCATAAAATTAAATGCATTATTGAATAACGGAATGAATTCTTTCTGTGTAATTATTTTTCCACTTCACAGTAGAACTAATTTTGACTTTATTCCTATTCTAGAAGAGTGTGGTGTGTATATTAAAACCTCAAACACTTCTGCAGAGTCCTACGTGGTACCTGGTAAGTGGATCGTTTTGCTGTAGCTGTAGCAGTTGGGCAGGTTTTGTTCTTTACTCAGGAGTTTTTCTCCACTGAATACTGATTTTACTTCATCTTGATCTCTCATCATATTTATCATATGCTGAATGCTCCATGAAGCCCACTTGGCTTGTTATGACTGAAAGCAGCCTGTTAATGAAATCCAGGCTAGGTTTTAACTCTGCACGTACTGCCTTAGAAAAGCACAGGGGGAGGTGCTGCGAGGCTTGTTTCATGTGCCGTCTTGGGCTTGGGTGGCATTTTGTGGGGTCTCCCTGGCTATTCACTGGTGTCTGGCCTGTTTTTGTGGTGCAGGGAAGAGGAAGGGCGAGGAGGTGATGCGCGGGGCCAAGCGGCAGCGAGCGGAGCACAGCGCCGAGCACCCCGCCTTCTACTACAACGTGCACCGGCACAGCATCCGCGGCATGAACATGCCAAAGTAAGGCTGCTCCAGCAACACAGCTCCTGCTCAGGCAGCCTCGGCAGCACCACCTGCTTTTTACACGTGTGCCTTTGGTTTTTTCCAGGTTGAACAAGTTCCTGAACTACCTGTCCGAAGCTGGGTACAGGGTGAGCCGCACCCACTTCGACCCCATGGGGGTGCGCACCAACGCGCCCCTGGCACAGTTCAAGACTGTCCTCATGAAGTACAGCACCCCCACGTACACGGGGGGGCAGGCAGAAGGGCCTGTCCACCTCCCTGGAGATATCCAAGTGGAAGAAGAGGTTCCAGCTGCTGCAGATACCAAGGAAGATGATGCTGAGTTTCCAGAAGAAGATAAATCTGGAGTCGCTGATGCCGTTTCCACACCATCCTACCCCACTGACTGTGCAGCTGATTAATGTGGATAGTTTTGTTCATGCATCAGGATGATGCAGACTCGAGCACACCCCATTCCAGTGAGCTACTCCTTCTTCCCAAACTGCAGTTTGAACATTTGAGCTGCCCGTTTTACTTTGAAGGGGCATTTTAGACTTATGTAGCAAAACTTAGCCCTCATCCCAGCCTGGCTACAGTCATGGGACTGTGCAAAGGTCTTGGAGAGTTACCTGCTTTTACACTCCCATGCCCTTCACACTGAGGCTGCTCCCCTGTCTGGTCAAGCCCTACTGCCAGCACAGCGTCCAGGAGGCTGGACAGGGCCAAAAGTCTTCAGCAGTTTGGAATGTGAGGTGGAAGTGAAACAGCATATTCCTAAAAAGCATCACTCCTTAAACCTGGCTGGTTACAATCTAGAGGGAGGGCATGCTAAGGTAAGAATATACCACAGGATAAAATGCAAAGTGAGTTGAAGACAGGAATTCCTGCCTGGGTGCACCTGGAGCGAGCTCCAGGCTGCACATGGAACTGTGCTCAGGTCCCTTTCCATAGCCCTGCTCCAGGGGAGAAGGGAAGGAAGGTGACACGACTGCTACTGAAACTCCAGTGTATAACCAAACCTTAGTGAATTGTGTAGTCACTCTAGGTAGTTGTTTGCTCAGAGGTCACACTGGTTTTGTGCTGCAGAAAGGTACAGGGATGAGGGACCACAGCTGACGTTCAGGGGAAGTTCTGCCATGAGTTTGTCAATAATAAACCTTAGGTGAGGAAAAAATCTCTTCTGTGAACAAGCAGAGGTGCTGTGTGTTGGCAGTGGGTTCTGGTTTCCTTAAATACATGGCAGCATTCCAGCCAAACAAGCTTGACTTTGTCCTTTCTTTCCCCCAAACTTTGTTCTGATGCCTCTGTATTTCAGTTGAATAAGGACCAGCTCTCACAGTGTTTCTCACAGGTTTGGTGTTCAGCTGGCCCCTGGTGTTGGGGTTATCAAAGAGCAGAGTATCAGGGCTTATTATCCTTATTTATCCATCTCTGAAACTTTGCAACAAGAGTACCATGACTGATACACTCCTGATTATGCAGAACTTCCCACACTCCTGTCAGGCCAGAAGTTGCTTCCTCTTACACCCTCTTCAATTCCAGAGCTCTTTGGGGATGAGTTATTTTCACTCTGCTCTGATTTAAAAAGAGGAGCTCCCTGAAGGGATCATGGATCAGTGATACAGCAACAAAGTTTCCTTCAAAAATGCAGTGCTTATAGTTCTTTTCCAGAGATGACCTGGCATCAAATGGGAAAGAGAGATGGAGGAGGAAGAGAATTTCATGTTCGTTAGTCACATTTTTGGGTTTTTCAGTGGAATGTGTTGGCAGGCTGTGCTTGCAGGTAACATACTGCTCACTTCAGTGTTAATGGATTAGTCCTAAAGTTGGTTACCTGGAGCAAAAATCGTTCCAATTACAGTAAAGTAGGTTAAAAAGAAAGTTTAATGAAGCCCCTTGTGGGAAATGTTTTTGATTACTCCTGCAGCTTCTCCTAAGGAACAGAAGGTATTGTGCACCTTTTCCAAGCCAAGGCAACTATTCCCACGTGTTTGGAGCAGCAGAGAAAGCGAAATTCAGGCCAAGGTAGGGCCAGTCCTGCAATAATTAGTTACCAGAACACCAGAGTTTGTTTGAGGCTGGAGCTTGGGGCCTTCTTGTTTGTCCTTGTACTGACCCACAGTGCCAGGGTTGGCTGGTACAGCAGGAAACAGAGTGGGAAATGGGAGGATAATGCAGGTGGTGGTGGCAAGGCCACAGCTGGTCCTGTGTCCACTCAGAGCTGGCCAGTGTTACCAGCCAGCACCCACTGCTGTGCCACCACCACTGACACACCTTCAGCACCTCTGGGTTGGGTCAAGGTGTCTGCAAGTGGTTTGTGCTGAACAGAAAATGAGAACTGACCGACTGCTGGAAGCCTGAGGGTTGGAAATCAGTGTTGGGCCATCAGCTGAACAGCAGGCTGGAGCATTAGTGCCAGAGGACAAGGGGAAGTTGAAAGATGTGATGCAGTTCCCACTGTGGGTGGTGCAGTGGCACCTCGGATGCTTTGTACCTGGGGACACGGCCACCTCCCCACTGCAGAACCCCTGAGCACTCAGGTTGTTTTCTGCTTAGCTGGGATTTAAGGAAGCTTTAAGGGAGTTTAGGCTGTTCAAAGGCAACTGGGATAATCAGTGGCAGCCCAGGGAGCAGCAGGAGCACGGGCACAAAGGGATCTCCTTCCACAGGGGAGCTTCAGTACAGCTCTTGGTGAACACAGACGTTGCCTCAGCTCAAGGTGCAGCCTCTGGTTTAACAGTTGTAAATGCAGAGAGAAAACAAGGAAAGGAACAAAACTTCACTGTTTAAAATAAAATAAGGCACCTCAACCCAGGTGATTTACAGTTGCCCTCCACTGCTTTGGACCGAAGCTGCTTCATGCAGTTCAATGCAACAAAAGTACTGGGGTTTAACCCAGTGCTGCAAAAATCCTTCATCCCCTTCCTGGGGCTACAGGATCTGACTGGAACAGGAACACTTGAGACAAGTCAGTGGAAGAGCTGCTGCCTCCTACGTGCCTCTATTTCTCATTTGAGGCACAGAACACCCTTTGGAGTTCACTGCTTCCAAGGGACTGGAACACCCAACACGGTGGAGCTCGGGGACAGCACTAAAACATACCCCAAAGGGCTTCTTTTATCAGCTACAACAGGAAGCAGCACTGGAAGTTCCAACAGGTTCTTGATAACATTTTTGCTTTTATTGTCAGTTTGAGCATTTCAGTGGGACTTTAGTTGGATAGGAGATAGTTAAGTTAGGCTTACCCATACCTAACATGTTATGTACTTAAAAATAACATGGCTTTGAAAGGGGCAAGAGTAACGTCATGTTGAAAATAAAATAGTTTCTAGCACTAAAGAGTCACAGTGCAATCAATGGTTTAATCAAACAACTACATTATATATATAATATTTAAAGAACATAAATATTCAGGAAATTCACTACAACATGAAAATAAAAGCTTCACATTCTCCCACGCTCTTTGAAAGAACTGGGGACAAAGTGACAGACAGCTCCTAGACAGACTGCTCAGCTTCACAAACACCCCTCTTGCTTCAGGGCCTGTTCATCCCTACAGCTCTCACACCGGAAGGGATGCTGACAACTAATCTAGAAGTTTCCCCATGAATTTAAAGCATTTCCCATGGCTGCTCCCCCACCCCCCGCTTATATTCTGTGGACATGCACTACTAGTCTATACAGCAACGTTTCACCAGAAAGTAAGAACATATTTCCTTAAGAACTGCCCCCTCTGTGCTCTGGGGCTTCAAAACTTCAAGTCACAAACCCCCAAGTCTCTCCAGTCAGAGAAAACAATTCAGTTACTCAAGGAAGCCTGTGCAGTTTTCAGCGGGATAAAGCTGACCTGGAACAGCAGCTGGAAAGGACCACGTATTTACAGGTGCTAGGAAAGCCTGGAGCCAGGGAAGGGTAAATCCTTCCCAGGAGAATCCCCAGGCATTGGAATACTGGTGTAGCACATGCCAAAACCAGTGGAACTGCGGGCAGCACACAGGAGGAGCAACACTGTGGTGTGAAGTCTTGCTTCTCACCCATCACCAGCTCTGCCTCGAGCTCCAGGTGCAGAGAGGTGAAGGGTCATCAGCAAGTCCTCCAGCAAAGGGAACCTCGTGGGGACAGAACATCCTTCAGGCAGGACGCAGGGGAAGCAGCTCCCCCAGAGCCACAGCCAAGCCCAGAGCCAGGACAGAGGGGTGGGACATGCAAACAGCAGCTCCCGGGCCTCACACGAGGGCCCAGTGCCAAGCTGGAACACTCGAACCTAAGGTTAAGACACTCAATGGTACACGTTGTCAAGTACTAAAGTTGTCTTCCAAAGTGCTAAGCCATGTTTGTTAAAGCTATGGCAAAGGAAAAAAAAGGAGAATCTTGGAGCAGCTTATGGTTGAAGTCTTTCCTACTCACACACCAGGATAAGGTCACTGCTGGGGTGGCACAATTCCCTAAAGCAAAGCATTTTGATGGCCACGTGCTGGAATTCGGGGGATTTGCTTTAAAAAACAAGTTTTCCAGACAGTTCTTTAGAGCCCATTCTAACATGCTCACAATAGAGATCCCACTCCAGGGAACAGAGCAGGGCTGTGACGCTTCCACAACATTTACTTCCCTTAAGCTGTGAGGACAGGGCATTGTAAGAGAGGCCAGGAGGCAATCATCAACACTGGCACATCCTGCATGGGGAAGAGTTATGGGTTTGGGTTGTTTGGGCTTGTTTTGACTGAAAACCAAACCAATCTCATGAATCCCCTTGCCCTGAAGGATCAAATTAAGCCCAGTAAACAGCAAGAGTTCCAAGTTTTCTCACTGCAGCTCTATTTAGAATCACAGAATCCCAGAATGGTCTGGGTTGGAAGGGACCTTCAAGACCATCTCGTTCCACCCCCTGCCATGGGCAGTGATGCCTCTCCCAAGATGCCAAACTCACATTTGTTCACAAGAAAATGACTTAATAAACCTTTCCTAGGGAATCACCTCTAGCTGCAAGGCCATCCAAAATCCGTTTTCTACCAATCTTTCAGATGGAGAACTGGTACCAAATTCTAACATTTAACACCTTCCTTGGCATATGCTACTATTGAACAGACTTCCTTGGCCATCCAACACTCAATAGTTCACAGAGGCTACTGTAACTGTGTCAAATGTAGGAGAAATCCAGATTTACCTGGACAAAATGAAGACATTCCAAACTGGAACACTCGCTCAGTCATCATGCATTAGGAACAAAAAAAGCATGTCAAACACTGGAATGCACTGGATGGAGAAGGTCATTTAGTCTCCTAGGGAAAAACCAAAAAACCCAACCCAAAGACTAAATTAAATACGACCCAGAATACTGTCTAATCATATTACTGAGTATACTGAGGGTGCCCGAAGGCAGCACAGGTATTGTCCAGGAAGATACTGGTGGTGCCTTCTTTTCATATTAAAGAAGTTGTAGCTATAAAAAGAGTCAGTCCCAGCCCAGTTTCCCAGCATGGCCTATTTGTGCTCCTTCGTGGGCGCATAGTACAGTTCCATGGGCTTGTTCACCTTCCAGTACTTCTCACTGACCAGTTCCAGGGAAAACGACCCATTTAACACCTGCAAGAGAAGAGCAAGACACAAATGAAGTAAATCTGGTCATGCTGTAAATAACAGGCTCCTTAAATAACACTTCAACGTGTTGGCTTGAAGGAGTCCCCAAAAATGTGGCACGAGTTACAAGCTCACCAAACCCCAAGATTCTCAGATGAAGTGTTATTTTTCCCTTGTCCATTTTAACTGGAAAATAACACCATAAGCCAGCTTGTAGTTACTGCACCACTGCATTTTCCCAAAGTAATTCATGTGCCTCCTTTTCTACCAACCAAGCCTTTGCTGCCTCCATTTTCCTGACAAGCAGCTCATCTGCTTCTAAATAACCCAGTGCCATGGATTTTACCCTCAAGCCAACTCGGGACAAGTGCAGCTGGGTGGAATTGAGTCAGATTTGTCTGAAGGACATGTTACCAGTGGGATTTAGTGTGGGCCAGAGGTGCTTACAGTGTACTGCTCGTTGGCAGTGGCGATGTAGATGGTGTATTGCTTCTCACTGGCCGTGTCCAGGTTCATCTGGTTGGATTCTCCTTTGCTCCGAAGCTCCTCCAGAGCCAACCTCACAGCCAGGTACTTGGATAAATGATCCACTGTGGCATTGCCCGAGGTCTTGATGTACCTGTGACAGCAACCACAACGTCTGAGCAGCAGGGACGGGGAAAAAACATCTGGAATGCCTCCAAATATTAAACACCAGTTGTGAAAAGGCCTTTAAAGACAGCTCACAGCTGGAGCTTCTCACGGATTGACAGACATTACAGAGACATATCAGCAGAGAAAGCCAAGAAGAGACCTGAGGAAACTCCACAAAACTACTCATTGCTGTGAGCCAAAATTTGCTGTCAGTGCTTGGACTGGATTATGAACAAAAAAAAGCCAGGAAAAGCTTCCAGCCTGCAAATCCTGCTGGCACAAAGCTGCTCTGAAAACTGCTGACACTTCCACAAGGTTTGTTTATTCCCAAAGAATCTCAGAATAGTAGAAAGGGGCTGATACTACACCATTATCCCACTACCTACTGTGAACTGCAATGCTAAAAAAAAACTTAAAAACATCTTTATTTGTGATCAAAGGCTTGAAACAGCTCATTACTGTAATTTTCCAATAGTTGAGCAGTACCTGACTTGGAATAGGAAGAGGGAAGGAGTGCTCATTTGCATTTGGCACTGGAGCCCAGAGAAGCTGTGGCTGCCCCAGCCCTGCAAGTGTCCAAGGGTTGGACACACAAGGGTTGGACAGGGCTTGGAGCAACCTGGGCTGGTGGGAGGTGTCCCTGCCCATGGCAGGGGGTGGAACAAGATGGGCTTTAAGGTCCCTTCCAACCCAAACCACTGTGTGACTCTGTGATATGGCTGAACAGGATGTTGTGTGACCAAAGTAAATGGATTTTTCCAAGCCCCAAGAGGTGACAGAAGCCAAAAGCAGCAGCAAGGAGGAGCAGAGCACAGGGAGAGGAGCAGCAGACTGACCTCGTCTGCGCGCTGTCGTCGTTCTCCATCAGCTTGGGGTGAGGCTTGAAGACCAGCTCGATCTCACTGGCCCCATCCATCACAGGGTCTATGGCCACAGTGGTGTTGTTATTGTCCAGTTCCAGCCCGGAATCATCCGAGGTTTTGGTCCTCTTGGTGCTGGGCCCTGCCTCCTGGTTGCTGTGTGTGGAGGCGTTGCTGCAGTGGGAGCTGTCTCCGTTATCCTCTGCTCCGCTGCCGTTCTCGATCTGCTGCTTCTTGCCCCTCTGTAACCTGGGCACAATAAATACAGACAAACCCTGATCCCCACTCAGAATTCACCCAGGGGACAGGCCCTGTACAAATATCAATATTTTTTTTAGAAAAAGATTCTCATAGACAAGACCGTTAATTTTTTCCTATCCCTCAAACAACTTTCAGACATGTTTTAAGACCATTTTAACTTCATACAGTTGCTTTTCAGGCAATTGCAGACCATTATTTTCATCTAAACATGAATCTATGTGTGATTAAAAATACAAATCACACCATGCTTCACCACAACAGAAAGTTTGGGGTCTCTTTCCCAGGTGGCTCTTTGAAGTTTCAATGGACACTACAGTGCAATCACCACATATTCCAGCCTGTGAGTTAAGTTGCAACTAAAACTTAAGTCCTGGTATTATGTGCATTTATTTGCATGGAAGGGTAGTATTTTGGTACAGGATTCCTTGTGTTATGGGTTGTTATCCAAGACATGACAGCCATAATTGGGTAAAACTAAGCTGAAATCTCCATCAGGCCACCACAGGAGTTGCAGGGAGCGGTACAAAGGTTTCTCTTAGTAGGCAAAAGCTTAAAAACTGTTTTGCCAAAGGCTGAAAATTATTTTGGCAGACTTCAGAGGAGAGGAGAGGACTCTCAAGCTACACAGGCAGCATATTTTTAGCTTGAAGGCAAACGAGGTGACACGTGGACAAATGACACGATTAACGTACCTGTTCATGGCCTGGATCTTTAATCCCTCCTCGATGCTGTGACTCAGGGCTTGCTGGTTGTTGTGTTTGCTGATTCTTGCCAGCACCCTCTCCTGATGAGCCTCATATTCATCTCTGCTCGGGTAAATCTTGCTGATGAGAGCATCGAAGTTGGGGTCCGGGCGCAGGGATCTCTTGGAAACGAGCTTTTTGCGACACGTGGGACATTCTTTGTTGCTGGACGGGAACAAGAAGGAAGCAAACGGCACTAACCCTCCAGCAGGGACAAAACTCTGCCCTGCTGCTGCCATTCTTAGTCAAAGGGCTCACTAAGACTCAGTATTTATAGTAAATCTGGGATGGTAGTTGCAGATATTTAAACAAAAATCCCAAACATACCTCTCCCTGCTGCGTTTTTATTTTAAGGTATGTCTGAACAAACTGTGTTTAGACCAAGGAGTTCAAAAGTCCCACTCTGCCAGCCGGTTCTTCCCTTCACTCTCTGGCTGGATTTTCACCTAGAAAAAATGGATGTCTAGTGGAAATTATATTAAGGCACAGTCTTAGGAAGAAATCCTTCCCTGTGGGGGTGGTGAGGCCCTGGCACAGGTTGCCCAGAGAAGCTGTGGCTGCCCCTGGATTCCTGGAAGTGTCCAAGGCCAGGTTGGACGGGGCTTGGAGCAACCTGGGCTAGTGGAAGGTGTCCCTGCCCATGGCAGGGGGTGGGACTGCGTGACCTTTAAAGTGCATTCCAACCCAAACCATTCTGGGATTCTGTGATTCCATGATTTCTAGCACTCCCAGGGCAAAACAAAGGCTAAGAAATCTATTCAATTGTTCAAGCACTAATTACTGGGAAAACTAACCCAATCTTGTCCTTCCTACTACTTTGTGCTCATTTAACTAAAACGGCAGGATCACATCATCTTTTTCCTGAGAGAGGAAGAGGCCTCAGTAGCTGAAAGCCTGGTGTCTTTACTCCTGATGGTTTTCTTGTTTCCCTCTAATGAATTTTTCCTAATTACTCATCAGAATTTACCCAGGCACAGCAAATCAAGCGTGACACAGATAATTGCCATTATCAGAAATAAAAACACCATTGCCTTAATTGCTGTTGGTGACCTCAGAATTCTATCTGGGAAAATACGAACGCGTAACTGAAGAATACAAGAAAAGATATTTGCACTTTAGCACAGGAATGAAGCTTGGAAGCAGAGCTACAGCTGAAGGCCACACAATCTGAAACTTATTATTAGGAAAAGGATGAATAAGGGAAATGAAATTTATTTTTGAAAGTAACGTTTGGTTTACTGTTACTGGATTAAACTGTTAAAAAAAAAGAATATAAAAGAGGGTTTCAATTCCTTGCAAGAAACAGTTTTGGGATGGTTTTTCATGAGGGAAGAATGAGATCTGTGTGCCAGAGATGGCTGGAGGTGGAAGAAGGAGGTGTGAAAGGTGTACAGTGACTGTCCCACATGAAGCCTCAGCCTGTCCTGGCTCCCCTTTCCCGCGGTGCCATCCCGGTGTCACTCACCCGCTCCGCAGGGCCGTGATGATGCAGTCGGCGCAGAACCGGTGCAGACACTCCTTGGTGGTCATGGTGTTCTTCAGCATGTCCAGGCAGATGGGGCACATCAGCTCGCTGTGCAGGCTCCGGGGGGACACCACGATCTCCAGCCCATCCGTGATGGCTTCCTAGTGCCACGGAAAGGAAAAGTTCTTTGAAGGAATTTAGACACTCCCTCATGGAGGTGGCCTGTGTTACTACAGGGAAACACGGCAAGAAGACAAAACAGGACCTACATAAACACATCAAACTGCCAGCAAGGCCAGCTCTGTAGCACACAAGGAAGACAAGGAGCTACTGGAGAGGGTCCAGTGGAGGCCATGAAGATGAGTTGGGGTCTGGAGCATCTGTGTTATAGGCAGAGACTGCGGGAGCTGGGTCTGGTTAGTCTGGAGAGAAGGCTGAGGGGGATCTCATTAATGCACATCAACAACTCCAAGGTGGGTCAGAGGATGGTGCCAGACTCTCCAGTGGTGCCCACGGACAGCACAAGGAGCAATGGCCAGAAACAAAAACACAAAAAGTTCCACCTCAACACGGGAAGAACTTTCCATGAGGGTGGCAGAGCACTGGAACAGCTGCCCAGGGAGAGCCTGGAGTCTCCCTCTCTGGAGACATTCCAGCCCCACCTGGACATGTCCCTGTGTCACCTGCTCCAGGTGACCCTGCCTTGGCAGGGGTTGGACTGGGGGATCTCCAGAGGTTCCTTCCAACCCAAGCACTCTGGGATTCGAGGATTACCTGAGGTGTTCTCTGCAGTTCATACAGACTCAGCTCCCAGGTCTTGCTCAGGGGCTGCGTCCCGTTGGTCTGCACGGCCTGAGACATGGCTGGGAAGGAGAAGAGAAACAAGCTCAACACTCCTGTGTGCCCGGTACAGGATCCACTCCCTCTCCCGAGCCAGTGGAATTCCAGATCCTCGCAGACACAGCAGCCTCTGTGCCAGCGAAGCAGGAGTTCTGGGGGAACACTTATTCATCCACAGCTCCACGGATAATCCATGCTCTGTGCCCCTGCAGAAAAACTGAGGGAGCCAGTGAGCCGTGAACACTTGGCAAAAATCAACTGAGTTGTTAAACAAAAGTGACACGGAACTGAAGGCCATAAAACTTTGGCCGTGCGATGCCAACGCTGCAAACGCCACCTGATGTGGAAAATATTCCTCAAACATCCACTCACAAATGTGCAGAGGGGTCCAGCAGGGTCTGCCTCCTGACCAAGGGGAAGGGCAAAATTAGACATGACACAAAAACCAGCTGAAAGTGCTCACTGGGGCACACCAGGATGGCTTTTCCTTCCTCCTGAAAACACACTGCATGGAGTTTCCAAACAGAAGTTTAGGGAATGCTGAAAGATCAAGTGCAATGCAGTCACTGACCGATAAAACAAAGGACCACACAGAGAAAATGCAACGCTGTCCCATCAGAACTTTGGGATTATTGGATGAGATAAGGCAAAATTATCACACATGGTCACTGCAGACATGAAAAAGTGAGGGGAAAACGACAGAAAGGAAAGGATGTTTCTGAACAAAAGATACTCTCACACTGGGGTAGAGGAGGCAATCCTTCCCACCTCTTCAAAAATGCCTGCCTTGAAGCAGGAAAACTTACCCCAGACTGAGGAGTATGTTTAAAAAAATAAATGTAACTGTAGAAGTAGCAAGATTACAGCTGCAGACATTTCTACTCGGTGGAAGAAGTGCTTTCTTCCTTTCTTTTACCACTTTTTTAAACCTAAATTTGTATTTCCAGACCCTTCAATTCAGCAGCCAAATGCGTTTTCTATCAGCATCTACCACATACATTATAATCCAGTTTCCAACTCATCAAGTTCTATATGAAAAAAGCCAAAAACTCTCTGGAGAACAAGGTTACTCTGTAAGGTTTAATTAATTGTGAAGGGAAAAGCAAGAGAAGCAGTGCAGTGAAGATTATTAGATCTACTTCCATCCAGGCACAGAAATCAGAGTTTTCTCACCTTAGGAAAAAAGAAGGAGGGGGGAAAAAAGCCTGACATAAAGTAGCCACATCCACTGTTATGGCTATTAAGTAGAATCCTGGAACACTTTGGGTTGGAAGGGACCTTAAAGCTCATCTAATTTCTCCAGGTTTGATTCCCTGTTGCTCCCCTGCTCCAAACAGCAGCTGGAAAAAGGGAAACAAGGTGTTTAGTCCTAAAACTTGCCTGGTTGATTTGTGTCTTTTGTACAAGAAAACTGGAAACAGGAGGATTGTTCAAGATTATCAGAATGGGTCAATTTTGATTTGTGGTACCCAGGCTGTTTCTCAGTTCTCCATGTTGTTACAGTGTTAAAAACAAAATAAAACAAACGCCACCTGTGCTGTTCTTAAGGAGCTCAGGAAACTTTGGATTGACTTTATAAATCCAAACTTCACCCACAAGCTGAACAGTGGTGGGAGATGAGCCTGTGGCTCCAGGAAAGAGCAGTACATCACTCCAGCTGAAAACTTCCTATTTAAGCCTGATTTCCTTGGAAAACAGGGCTTATGCAATCCCGCTCTTTGTGCTCGTTTTCTAAAACAAATTTGAAGAAAAATGGTTGGGGTTCCAAAACTTCACAAGAAAATAAGTCTTGTTCCTGAAGTGCTGGAAAACAGACAGTTATAGGGGAAAAATACCAGTGTGGAAGAGCCCCTGTGAAAGGCCCTTGGATCTCCTGCCTCCTCACCAACTGGGGAATTTATGCCAGTGTCCTTCTTCTGAAGGAGGTCTCTCTGCTCCTGCTCTTCCCAACTTACCTTGCAGAGCTCTCCCACCCCTCAGACCCACCAATACACCACAGCTCCTCGACTTACATCTCAAAATTTGTCATTTAGAACAATGTAAGGCTCCCTATGTTGGCACTATATTGGTTCCCTAAAGTTCCTTTGTTGGCACTAACAGTGATGGTTGTCCTGCTTTAACCAGGGAACCAGAGGCTTTCCCCTGGATGCCCCCAGAGATCCCTCACAACGTGGATTATGCTCCAAAATGCTCTGCAATGCCCATTTTAGCCCTATTTTAGCCCAGGCAAAGGCTAAAGAGCAGGTGTGGTTGTGTCAGCACTCCCTGAGGGCAGGGAAAGGCTGGAATGGTGCCAAGCAGCTGGAGCAGATAACCCACAAACCCAGCCATAACCACATCACTCCAATGCAACTCTAAACAGAGTCCAGATTTCTGATACTTTCATGAAGAAAACCACTTTTGAGGAAAAAAAAAATTGCATCAGGCTCTTAAAAAAAAATCTATTACACATATTTTTACAGAGTATTAAAATCTTAGAGACCAACTGATTTCTGTTCCAAGTTGTAAAAGGTAAATATTTAGACTTAAAACAGTAAGAGTTAGACTTCTTCTTGGTGTGCCAAGTTCAACAGCACCTTCAGCCATTCCGGTTTTTCTTTCCAAAGGATTAGGTCCTTTCAAAACAGGTATCATACTGCAGTTACTTGGAGGCTTAAAAGGATTAGAGTTTGGGGTTTTACTCTCTCTCTCGTACTATAACTAGTACCGGGGGCAGATTGCATGTTTTCACAAAGTCTTCAATTCCGTCATTCATTTAAATTTATTCAAATAAAAAAGTCTGAAATTTAAGTTTTCTCTGCTTTTACTTTCTGATTGGAGAGCTTGATTTGGAAAAAAAAAATCATACAATTCTGGAAGACACTGTTTGAAGAAATGAATCTTCCCTGCAGTTCACTGGCAGCTCGGATGGCTCTACATTCAGTTATAACATAGGACAACTAACAGCAGGTTATAATCCAGCATTACCTTTAGTATTCACACTGTTTGGAAAGTTTTTTCCTCTCCAGATCAAAAGATTCCTGGGAGACAGCGGAATCAGGTTCTGGCCTGGAGCTCAATTTGTTCCCAGCTCTGAACTGAACTGCTCAGTGATCCTGAACAAGTGTGTCACTGCATCTGCCTCCCCTTCCTCCTTATTGTCAGCACTCCTCCAGCTGCCTCTCCTGAGTTTATGTGGCACTGCCTGTAATGACCCTGATCTCCAAAGGGGCTCAGCTCAAGAGAGCAAAGTCTTACTGCAGTGGCTTTAGTCCCTTCACCCACCAGGCCTTGTCCTCCCAGTGAAGTTCAATGTCACAACATCCCCTACTGGGAAGGTTTTCACCTCCTGTTTGCAAACTGAATTCAATATTCTATTTGCCACGTGCACAGTCACCTTCCCTCGACACAATCACAGCCGAGCTCCGCTAACACCAAGTTCAACCCCATGCACTGATGGTCAGGGTTGCAATCCCAACACAGTGGCTCTGTGGGGCAGCTCACCTCCAACACACAAATTAGGATATGATTTGCTCTCTATCATCACTGTCTGCTTCAGACATTAAAATCCCATTTGAAACCTCGAGGAGCTTGTGTTGTGGGCTCACATTACGAGCCAGACAGAAAGCAACAATTACCTAAGGTACCAAAACGAGAAAGTATTTCCATCCAGCATCGGAGACAGTCACACTCAGTGGGATGTGGGGGGGAATAACCTGACCTGCTTTTACCAGGAGGTTGTGTCAGATCACCTCTGGAGGTCTCTTCCAACCCAAATTATTCTGATGATGGAGTTCTCTCACTATCAGAGACATTTATCCTTAGTTTTGCTGTGTAGAAAGTCACCCAGCCAAAAAAAGCCAACAGCAACTACCACCAATAAACCAATAAACCACTGCCACAATAAGAAGCTGAAGAAATCTGACCTTTTACAATCTATGTGGCCAATTATTCTGTGAGCATCCTCCCTGCCAGCATAAGAAACATCAGAAGGCTTTTTTGGGACAACAGTGACCACTGGTTTTATACAGAGTAGAATCCATTTGTCTGAGCTGTTGAAACAGCAACAAGGGAATTGGGCCCTCAGACACCTGTTATGTTATAAAGAACATCCAGCAAATCTGCTTAAATGGGAGTTTTCTTCATAAACACATGATATAGCCATGTATTTAAGAAAAAGAACACTTAGGATAGAGCTGTAAGTGGGGGCAGGTTAACCATCAATCTGCAAATTCATGAGGATCAGATTAAAAAAAAAATAAATCAATGTTATCAAGTGAACAGTTCCAGCTATTCATAAAATGCCTAAAAGTATAGTAATGGGCTAATTTCAAAATTATTACCAAACACTTTATAGTTAATACTGATGGGTAATGTGAGCTCCTTCATAAATGCCTGCCACAGTTAAAAATGAGAGGCTCCCAACACTTCCACAACACCAGCATTTCAAACATTTTGCACACATTAACTACAAGTCTCACGTGCACAGCACAATCACAGCCAATTAAAGGACTATAAAAGATGCCAAATTAATATAAAGTATGAAGCTGAAACTCCAAATAGCAATTCCAAGCTTCAGAAGCCAAATCTGATAACAAATAACAAACATTTACAGCACCGCGCTTTCCACCCGGGTCATATCTCAGCTTACAAACAAACACGTCCTGGGACTGTCTGGGTGTGATGGAAACACTGAATCACAATAAAGAACAAGGGAGAAGAGACATAGAATTGTATCATCATAGAATTCCAAAATGGTTTGGGTGGGAGGGACCTAAAATCCCATCTTGTTCCAGCCCCTGCCATGGGCAGGGACACCTTCCACTGGCCCAGGTTGCTCCAAGCCCCGTCCAACCTGGCCTTGGACACTTCCAGGGATGGGGCAGCCACAGCTTCTCTGGGCAACCTGCGCCAGGGCCTCCCCACCCTCACAGGGAAGAATTTCCTCCAAATATCCAATCTAAACCTACCTTCTTTCAGTTTTAAAACCATGTTCCCCTTGTGCCAGGGGAGGCTTAGGTTGGATATTAGGAAGAAATTCTTT